AATGTCCACAGTCTCGGTCGTGTAAATTTGTCAAAGCAGAACTGATTACACAGACATTAACCCCGAAGTTCCAGGTATCCTTGGTCCTGGTGATAAACTTGTCTACGGTAGTTTGTTGTTGAATCTGGACACCACGTGCATTGGTAGACCTTGTGTTATGTGGACGTGCTAGCTTTCAAGCAGGTAGGAATGAATGAGTCAGAAAGACCACTATCTTTTAGAACATTGGCTTCAACAGTCATTCTGTCAAAGCCAGCAACCACAAAGCAGGGTAGTAAGCTGTCCCTTGGAACAGAAGATTCAGACAATCTGGAGAAGTCCACGGGGTGTTTTAGTGGAATTTTGATATTAACTCATACTCTTCATGTTGTATATTCATTTGCATATGCATTATACATAATATTATGTATTACTTAAAGTTATTTAGTCCTAGAAGTTGAGCAGCTTTATACAGACATATATAGATAAACCCTAAGAGCATACAAGACACACTCGGAACATGTGCACCTGTCCAGTCTATGTGCTTGGGCTGGAATAGAAGGAGACATAGTGTCTAAGGAATGTTAGATTTATGGCTAGTTGCAGTGAGGTAGGCCTTGGCAGCCAATAATATTGTAACATACAGTATATGGTTGTATTGTAAAGTTTCTTATAAAAATTGGCCTGCGAGCCTTTATTTTGTGAACTTGCTTATGCCTGTTCCCTGCTGCAGCTGGTATCATTAAACATGCTAAATGATGCTTCTGCCTGGTCCGACCCTTTGCAATTCCGCTTCAGTATCTAACAGGGTTCTGATAAGATCGGAGTATCACATGCTCCTAGGCCAGTTTAGTGCCATGAGAAGTAATGCAATGTCCTCCATCTCAATCCTGTGGAGCAGAACAGGAAAGAGCTTTAGAGGGGGAAAGGCATAATCTCATGCTGATCCTAGAGCCACCAGAGCATACATTGTATTCACTAGTGGATCCTTGAACGTGGAGACAAACCAGTGCAGTCTGTTGTTGAATCTGGGGGCTAAGAGGTCCACATCCAGCATCCACCACCTGACACCTCAGGGTGAACAGACCATTTGTTATCACTCCAAATATTGTCAACTAAGATAATCTGCTTGCCAGATGTCCACACCGGGAATGTGGATAGCAGACAAGGTTAATGTTCTGCCCAAGACAGTATCTGTTCCACTTCTTTTTCCACAGCCAGACTGGTACTGTATGTCACTTCTGTGGTGTTGCCAACTGCAGTCAAGGAGTTCAGCATTAATAGAAAAGACAAATTTGCTCAGAGCTCCAGTATGTTAATAGGGAGACAAGCTTCCTCCTGACAAACCTGCACCCAATCTAATCTTTTTTTTTTGCATGCTGGCTGGTGAGTGTGCCTGGAAACTTTTTGCTGTTTTACTGTTTGAAGCCCTTCCGTGTGCACCTTGCTGTAAAGCTGGTAATTAATTGATGAGTGCGTTTGCCAATTGTTTTGCTTGACTGATTTGGTGCAGTGACGCATGGGGGGTGTCAGCTGCCATTGTGATGTGCGGGGTCCTTTGTGCGTACCTGTGCCTTTAAGGGAGGTTGGGATTCCTCCTGACAAACCTGCACCCAATTTAATCTTTTGCCCATGTGCTCCAAGATGGAGACTCTGATAGTTTAGAGTTAGGACAGCACTATATGGAGGTGCCTTGACGTGGCTGTGCGGTTTTCACATTTTATGCAGAAGACGTGTATCTAAACCTCTGCTTTTAACCTTAGTGGTTAGACAGGTTGTTTTGCATGCTGGCTGAACTGGAAAGTGAGCTGAATTGGAGAATTAAAAAATACGTACATCCTCCTAGTGTAATGAGTAGAATGAGAGCGCCAGACCAAGAAAAGTTTCAGAGTCCAAAATCTTTAAATCACTTAACTGATGGCAGCAAAAAACAGTAGATAGCCAATGCGTTCTATTTCAATCTGCCAAAGGCAGCACTGGCTTTCTTTGCATTTTAGCTGTCCTTGCTGGCATTATTACTGAAAATTGGTCTTTTCACCTGTGAAAGCAGTCAGCTTAGAAGCCATCATTTGAATCCATCCTAAACGTTATTATTTCTATTCAGCCCTGATGAAGGGGGAATTGTAGCCCCAGTAGTTGCTAGTTGTTTTTGCTGTCATCAGTTGTGTGATTTTGGTCTTTAAACTTTTCTTGTTCTGGCGCTCTCATCCTACCCGTTACTTTTGGATTTCTCGATTTGGGCCCTAGCCCCTTCCCTAGGAGTCTCCCGATTCCTGCAGAAGAACTGCCTAACCTAAAGGGCCTCCTAATTCCAGCAGAAGAGCTGCCTAACCTAAGTCATTAGGCTCAAGCAATTATTCCATCCCCCTTCTCTGATAAAATTCAAGAAAGATAGCAATCCAGCGCCTCATTTGCTGCTGTACATCCTCCTAGGACACCAGCAAAAATAGATGCATTATGGAAGCAGGAGGGTTATACGTGGCTGGCCAACAGCTTTTTTGTTTTTCATCCTTAAGGCAGTATACCAAATATTTGTAAATTATACTGATCCCGTGTCCATTGAATAACAATAAAGTAAGGTTTGCATATGCAGGAGAGGGGCAGGCATGAAACTAAACCTGTTGCTTTGCCCTGCCTTATCATAGCACAGGTTCCCTTGTAGAACTCCAGTCACATTTTTTTTTCTAGTTTTCGATAGAGTGGATACTCCCATTTTGTCAGTGGAAAAGGAGTAAAAGTGTGGACACCTGATCACTATCCTCAAACCAGGAATATTTTTACTGTGGGGAGATTTTCTCCCACTTTCTGTAGTGTAAATGGAAGAAAAGTGAAATTTCCGCAGAGGGGACACAGAGCAACACAAATCTGACAGAAGTTCTAAAACTTTCCTATTCTATCCAAAACTAGCAAGGTTTTTACTTTTTGTACAGACCTCAGATATTGATAGTTTTAAAAAAAATGTTGAATTAAAGTGTGGCTTGCCAGTTCAGGCAGCTGGAGGGTTAGTTGGTTGGTACAAGCTCACTGTCCATTAATGAGATCAGCTGGTTAGGCTTAGCAACCACAGATAAAATAGTGAATATGTGTGAAATAGTGGGACCAGCAGCTGAAGCATTCAAAGCACTGTGAGCTAAATGGTGAGAGTGGTAGCTGGTCCAAGCTGCAGAAGAGAGGAGTATACAACTCTGTACTTCTGTTCATTTTAACATAACCCATCCATAATGAGGAGGGCAAAAAGCTTTTTTGTCTGAGTTCCTGTCTAAGACACAGGTTTTGTATGATGCAGCAAAGATTAGACTAGGTGCACGTGTTACAAACATGTGCATGGCATAAACCACTTATTTATTGAGTTGAAATTATGTGAAAGTATTGAGAAATTCTGTTTCCCTTTATATCACTTTTCCAAAGCAAAATTAATAATACTCTGTTGCTGACCAACTCACCCCAGTTCTTTAATTTCCACCTTCAAAGCAGTTCCTCTAGTGATACAAAATACTAATAACTTTCAAAGCAATCACATATATCCATTTTCCTTATATGTATCTGCCAAATGCTATGGTTACCAGTAAAAACAACTGTGTAACCAGACAATGCTGGGTCCTCTTTTCTCCCAGACCCCATAGCAAGCACTTGTCTGTTGCTGTGATAGCTATGACTACTACACGTCCCTGCAGTCTGTAGAAGAAAGGCGCAGCAGAATGAGAGTAAATCCACCTGAGCTAAGGAAAACATAAAGCTATAATTAAACAGGGATGCAGTCCATATCATAAAACATTACATGTCTTTAGGGGACCGCGTCTATGTCCTTATGACCACTTGTCCATGCATGATCTCTAATGAGGTATCCATGCACTGAAAACAAAACGAGCAAAGGAAGGAACACCATACAAACCTAACAAAAAGGGCTGCATTAATTTAGATATATTTTATACACCCAGAGTACTACCAAAATATCCCCTCTCAATATCTTAAAGAGTATCTATGGTCAAAAACTAAAAATAAATATGTTTTTCTATACTGAATAACCATAGCTTCTATCCCATGCCTAATAATCATATCGATCTAGAAGTTTGTAAACCTACTTATTGAAGATACCTATAGCAGGGCTCAAAATTTCCACTCGTGCTGTATGTGTGCTGTGCTGTGTGCGCGTTGTGCCCTGTGTGTGTTTGTGTTATGAAGGGCAACTGGTGGCGAGTAACTTCGAAGGCCTGGCTAGTAGCTCAGGACCTGAAATTTTGAGCCCTGCCTATAGGATGTATTTCCTATCAGCCCTGCGAATATGCATTTCCTTGTGTCACCACTCTAACTAAAAATGCTGTCTGAACTACAACTCATTGTCAAAACTGCACACGATGTAACATTAGCATTGCTTGCTGGAATAAATGTATGATGGTATATGTAGTTCTGAGAAGCTGAGATTGCATTACATCAAGCAGCAGGGAAAGAAATGCAAAGCACACTGGGAATCCAGGAAGTTATTGAAAGTGATGGGCAGACGGAAGGCAGCATTAACTACATAAAAGGTTTTTTTTCAAGTAAGCTTTGATTGCATTTTTAAAAACAAACAAATATAGTATGTATTGCTATTACAATGCTGGACTAAAATGTGACTAAATATACAGTTATAATATTTATAGGTGTGCCAACAGGGCTGAATTCCCATCAATTCAGCCTATATGCAGACAACATTTTGCATACCTATTTTACACACAACAGGTCATTAACTGGCTCTGAATATCATGACAAGGTGTAAATAAGTTTATATCACAGTATTACTACTGATGATGGTAAACAAATGTGTGGCTAATAACTATAGGTGAAAATGGTTATTCTTAGCCTCTGCCCACCTATATGGCCTATACTGGCCTGCTGTGCCTCATGGAAATCTGTCCCAGCTTGTGGAAATTAAGATGCTGTGAGTTATATCACATTTCTTTGAAAAGGAAAGAGGACATGTAGCAGCAGCATCATTTTATATTTGGCTTCTCAAAATAAGAATAAATCTCAAACAGACAAACCTGAGGGCGTGATCCAGAGTCATTCCAGTGAAAACGAAAAACTTCAAATATTCTTCTGCGACCATCTTACTGAACTCATTGCTGCAAATGAAAGCAAAATAATGACTGGCCTTTTGGTCGTATAAAAGGAGGAAGGCACAAAACATCTGCACATTTCTAACATGGTATACAACCAAGTTTCCAAAAGCACATCAAGGCAAGACGATGTATTGTAATGAATGTGAGGAAGTGATGTGTTCCATTGACAATCATAGCAGAAAACCAAATCCTAAACACATCAAGAAACAATTATGAAACCTAGTCTGTGTAGGCAATGATAATATTTTAACATCCTTATTGTTTCTACTTTTGCTTGTTTTACATTATTTTAATATTTAATCTGCAGGGAAGTAACACAGTTTACACATCACGGACACCTTGGTACAACCACAGTAAAAGCCCTAAAGCTTTTACAATGCAAACAGCACTTGGGGTTCCCTTTCAACTGCTACTACTGTTGTTTTATGTAACTCACATTCACTAGTCATTGTGCCACCTGGGCAAAGTCTGCCACTGTCAGGTACTCACAGGAAACCTAGAATATATTGTTCCTGCTAGCTTTTTGTTTCTGTCCTCTGGCACATTTCATCATTGAGTGCCTAATTCACTTTTACTGCCATCATTAAGCATGGCATTATATTACCAATGGGCCCATTCTATTCTACAGCTAGGTCAAACTGCTTTCTAAAGGGCAAAATATGATCAACAGTGTATTCTTTGCGGACAATATGCAGCAGCAATAGACAATATGTCACCCCTACAAACTGTTCTGGTTGTAACATTCCTCCACTGTACAGGTGTGCTGTTGTTCCTGTTCATGGCAAGATTTGAAGTGATTCTGATTAATGTCAACAGGTCAGAGGAGATAGATAACATGATGTTGTTCTAAGTTTAGCAATGACGTGAAGAAGCTTCTGGACCTCAACTGTTTTGAGCAATATGACTTTCAAGTGAACCTGTGGCAGACTTTGGACATTCATGTATTTATGTATTATGACCCAGCACTAAATTAGTTTTAAAAGAAGCACATATTGACATTTTTAACAGCATGAACTGTGGAGTAGTTCATCCTCAAATACACAGCAGAAGACATCCAAGTTGGCTCTCTCAACAGCTTAGCTCACCCTGCCCCCTCCCCAGCAGTGACTTCCAATCACTTATGTAAATACAAAGCAAGTACTCTGGGACGAGGGAATATAGTGAGCTGGGCTGCTGAGGGAATAACTTGAATGCTACTTCTGCTGTGTTCACACCAACCACAGTTCCTTTCCGGTCCGATTAGGGCCGGCACGCACTGGATCGCATTGTGGCCGGCTTACTTTGTTGTGGGGCAGGAGGGGGCATGGCGGTGCATTGAACTCAATGGTACCGCAGCCACGCTCTCCGTACGCAGTGCAATCGGCCGCATGGGAAAGTGTTGCACATCAATGCCTGCGTTCCGGTCAGAAAAAATAGTGCTTGCAGCATTTTTTCTGACCTGGAACACAGGCATTGATGTACCACGCGTTCCTGTGCAGCCAACTGCATTGCACCCGAGGGCGTGGCTGCAGTGCCATTGAGTTCAATGCACCGCTGCGCTCCCTCCCGCTCCACAAGAAAGTGAGCCGGCCGCAATGCGATCCAGTGCTTTCCAGCCCCAATCGGACCGGAATGCAATGTGGCTGGTGTGAACTAGCCCTTCAAGAACAGTTGTTTCACAGTGCCTTCTGCGATAAGACATAAACAAGGGTTTGTTCTAAATCTCATTTCATGCTTGTTAGGAACAAGTAAATGCTGGAATGTCCAAACTTTGCCACAGGTTGACTAAGTAAGGCTACTTCCTCCCATAGCTTATTACTACTGTACTTAGAACATAACTCATAACCCACATTGATTACTAAACTAACAAATTTGAACTCAATAAAACAAACCTGATCTTTAAAAGTATTTGCTAAAAAGACTGTTATGTTAACAAAGTACCAGTGTTGTCTCTGATGACAGAAAGCACTCCAACATCATTCTACAAATACTGTTCTTACAGGAAATCTTTTTACAAATGATAGATGTTTGATATGAAAGTTGGTGCACTTGGAAAGTGTATGCTTGCATGCAACCTATAAATGCAGACATGAAGTACTGAAGAACTGCTGAAGTACAACATTGGGGCTGATCAGAGATGAAGTCGATGTGTCACCACATGAGAGATACTGGGTAACAGATCTTTGTTATATATAGTTCTTACAATACCCACACGTACTTCTTCCCTAGGTGCCTTGCTACATCAGCTTTCTTGAACCCATCAAGATTGTAAAGTCTCTTTGCCAAGCGTTTAGCTGCTTCCTGATCTGCCTTATGCCCATTGGACAAGGTGTCTGTGCTTCCTAATGCCAGTCGTTCAGTGCTGTCCATCTCCGATTCAAAATCTGATGCCATATTGCCCAGAGGCGGTACACTACATGAAGAACAAAAATGATAACTGTAGTGAAAACAATACTTTATGTACAACAAATAGCACAGTTAAGAATCCAAAAAATAAAAGGAAAAAGGCAACATTTGATCACTTAAGATTCAAGACATTTACCATTTAAACATTTAGCAATTTAGCATGCCAGTGAAATAGCTGACTTTTGACTGAAACATTTATTTTAAACTCACCATATATACTACAGTCTGAGTGTGCAATCTACTTTAGATCTACTAAAAATTAGTACAAGTTGAATGGATTGTTTGTTCGTATGTTCTTATGTTTATTAGCTTTGGAAAATCTAAATATGATTGGACAGAGATTGTTCAATCAGGTTGCTTGCCTGCCAGCACAGCAAGGACCTTGACCTCCATTAAAGCAATAGCAGCATGGCTTGGTCAAAAACAACCCCCAGCCCGCTAATTGGACACTAAAGCAGCAATAGAAAATTGATGAATTAATAATGTACATACGATGAAGGGAATTTATCAAAACTGGAGCAGACAAAATCTGGAGCAGCTGTGCATGGCAATCAATCGGCTTCTCTCTTTCATTTTCAAATCTTAACTGAACAAACTGAAGAGAGAAGCTGATTGGTTGCCATGCACAGCTGTTCCAGATCTTGTCTGCTCCCGTTTTGATAAATTCCCCCCAATATATAAACTAGTATCGGTATCAGGGGCCTATATCGGGCATTTTCACGAGTACTTGGAATGCTGAAAATGCCCCGATTCTTAAGACCGATACCATTCCTTTACATTTTTAAACCGCAGCAGCTGCCTAAGTTCCCACGCTTGTGGGAACTTCAGGCAGCTTGCTGGGGACCTGGCAGTAGCTGTCCCTGGCAGTGCCTGTCCAGTTCTATATCTCCTCCTTCCCGATGCAGACACAGCCATTGTAAGCCCAACACCGCACAGTACAGCCCCTGAGCCAGCACCTGCCCGTTCAACTCCCAACCCACCATTTTAAGTTTGTGTTCTATCACGCCACCCACCGGCACCCACCGGATCAGCATAACCACTTCCCACAGAGCCCTGGAGAGATCCATGCGCCGCCTGTGTGAGATTGTAGCCTGCTGAGATCTGTATTCAACTCTGGTGACCTGTTGTGTATTCAACTCTGGTGAGAAACTGCCCTAAAATCATTAGTTTGTATTGTTTTAGAAAAAATGTCACATGTCCCTTTAAGAAAAAGTGTGGGAAAGTACTTGGTCTTGAAAAAATGGTATTTGGACATCCCTAATATACAGTATATATATATTATACACAATTTAAGAAAGAATATTATCAGTAGTTAGGTGCATGGGAAAACATATTTTCCAATCCAGTAAATATCATCTGTTGCAAATTAAATATGGTGGTTTGCACAGCTTATTTTTTCTAAAAAAAACACATACAATATATAATTATCTTCTCTTTAAAGGGGGTGTTGATGAAATGTTTGCACTTTCCAGTTAATTGCAAACTGTAGTTAAAAATGTTTGCTAGGCTTCCAGGTTTCCATAGCAACAACATAATCTACTTCAACTATGACTATTATCTTGCATTCAGTAAAGAAAAAGTCCTTGGAACTTTTAGCTATTAATAAAGTCACTGAAAACAGCTTCAAAAATGACATTTTTTTTTGTGAATCATTCCAACGTGCATTGATGAAACACACCTACATACAGTACACAAATGAAGGGCAGTGAGAATGACAGTACACTAGTGATCTAATAAAAAAAAAAGGTGTGCTGGCCGCGATGTACTTGATCCTGTGCAGCCGGATCTTAGCACGGAAAGCAATTTGGCCGGCCGGGACACCATGTCTGACCTACAGCTCTGCAGATCCTAATATTCACAGGATTGCTGTGGAGCCAGATGGAGTTCTGAGTCCCCCTAGAGCCTGCAGACACTATGGAGAGATGTCTAGTCAGGATTGAAAGTAATGATCGTACAGCTGAGGTGCCATTAGCATACCCCGATCTCTGCCCAAACCGACACATTGCCTGTGACAGCCCCTCCCATGTTATGTGACTTTGATTCCTGAAAATATCCAGCATTGCGTGTTGTAGGTGTGTGTGAGCTCTCATTAATGAAATAGTTAAGCTTTTGTAAAAGCTTCTTTCTTTCATTAATGAAAGAATGAAGCCGTTACATGCAAATACGGGACCGCTAAATTGCAATCCCGTATTTGACAGCTAAAAATAGCAGAGAGGCAGCAGAGTGACTCACCTCTCTGCTATTCATTTTGACAGCTCGATAGCTGATGTTTATGATACATTTCAGGCACAGAGATACAAGAGATACAATGTATCTGTGTCTGAAATGTATCACTTCTGATCATCTGAGCTAGATCAAAGACCTTTAGTGAGATCTGAATCTGACATGCTGTCAGGATCAGTCTCTAAGGTTATTATTAGCTTTTCCTAAGTTTGGAGCAGCCTAATAATAGCCAAATATTAAAAAAGTTAATTTATCAAGCAGTCAAACTAGCTCAGTCATGAAGGGGTTAAAGAGGAACTTTATCCTTATACATTAAGGGTACCTTAAAACTGACAACAAAGGCACCGTTAGAAATGTTTGGCAATCAAAAATGTGATGACATTCTACAAATAGATACTTATAGATAATTGCATGCTTTTTATTCGTTTACATACTTTTTTTTTTTCTTTCCCTCCCCATTCTTTTCACAGTGGCCATTTTTACAAATGGCAGGTTAATATATATCCATTTACTCCTATGGCATATGTGACTAGGACATGTGACATTGCACATCTCAGTAAAAAATGGCTTTTCCTGAGATCTTGCAAGATTTTGCAGTTTAAAGATGAGATTTCCAAGCAATGCACTGTAATGTAACCTTCCAAGGAAAATCTTACGATTTTTGGCAGGTTTTCCAGCGTGCTCGGAAGACGAAAGTCGTGCGACCTTACAATAGAAGCGGTTGTAAGTTCGACAGTCGCACAATACTGTTGAGATCCACACAGCTAGCTGATTGACAGCGTGCTCTGCCTATTTAGAGGGGGAATTTGACAGTTACTGCTCTCTGCAGGGAGATGATCGGAAAGTGAGCAAGCGACAGTATAGAGATCAATAGAGCCAACATAGCAGTGCCGTCCGTCCGTTTTTCTACTACGGGCAGACGGCAAGAGGTTAATTATCACACCTCGGCTCTAACTATGAGGATGAGTGAAAATCACTCACCTCCTAGTTCTCCTTTAAATGAAAACAATTCTGGGTTTATTCAATAATTTTTGGCATATCGATTCTTAATGGTAAGCATCATGTGGGGCATGGCAGGGAAGTGTCCATTGTTTAAACACCTCCCATTCATGGTCGTTCCTGTTCGTCCGGGAGTCTTGTAGGAGTGGGAGGGCATCTTAAGATGTCCTGCCCCTCCTCCCGTTCATGCGTGGCGCTCAGCGCGCACACGAGTGGAGAACTGTTACCAATGTATACAGCCAGCGATGGCCGTTTACATTCAAGCAATCGGGCATCTCTAGAGACGCCCGACCGCTTGCAGTAGCTTGCACTGACGCCCACCCCCCATACCTCCACTGCCACTGCCGGTCCCAAGATCCGCTGTGCCCGGTGCAGCTGGGACCGGCACGGCGACGCTGTCAGTGGAGATCAGTACACGATCTCCCTTTGATTTCTTATCTGTCCCCGAATGCAGGTACATGAGATTGGAGTCCATTGTGAGTGGGAGCTTGGAGTGGTGGCTACTTTACAACTTCCACAGGGACCATAATGAATTAAATAAGATAAAGATTTTAGTGCAGAATAACACTTTTGGTAGTACCTTTTTATCGATATCTGTGCCAGAGGGATTTGGTTCCAAATGAGGGACATTCCCTCCATATGAGGGATAGTTGAGAGGTATGATATAGGCCACTGCAGAACTCTTAAAATCAGAGTTTTTTAAATGACTAAAAATGACTTTAAATGACTAAACAAAAATACAGTGAAAATGCTAGTTAGACAAGTATGCGGCTTTGAAACCATTCAGTGTTATGTCCCTGAACTGTAGGAACAGCAAAAATAACACAAGAGCTGGTTCACTTCCTGACAATTGTCCAACTGCACTAGCTACAAACATCTGATTTGACAATCCACTGGTCAGTGTCATCTGGCGCTATTTATACAGTCGTGCGTATGTGCCTGTGTTTATTTGAGAGGTTGCGAGTATAACTGTGTGGGTGAATGTAAGAAAACACACACACACTCATCCCAGCTGTTTTCGGATTGGGTGGCTGTGTGTAACACTATGACACAAGAGAACACAGTGCTTTGACATATGCTGAGTAATGTTTCCAGCTGCTGCTATTTAGAAGTTAATCCCACAGCTGTCTACTGTCTGTTGCACCTATTGCACACAGACCTAGGAGAATCACATGCTAAGCACTGCCATTCCTGATGCTCATTACAATCCGCATTCAACTCTTACTGAAAGACATTACAGAAAAATGCAGCTCTACATAGATAAAATCCATGGTATATATGTGTTACCATCTGCAACGCCATATCCATTGCCAATATTTCAGACATTTGATACTGGATGCAAAGAAGCAATGACTAAGGGCCAATGGCTTTCCATACCCTTTGTTTATCTTAACAGATTCATTATTTTCCCCCTTTTAATCCTTGCATTATATAAAAACAGAGTTTCAATATTTGCCTGCAATGCTGCCAAACTGTTTTTTATGGACAACTGCAGCTGGGAAGTCAGCAATATGCCAACCTAAAAGAACCTAAACTGCATTGATCAGGGAAAGCGATGCACCAATATAAAATGTATCCTCTGGAACATTCTGGGAATTAGGGAAAAAACACTGAACAGTTGATGTTTAGTAGTCATAAATCAACCCTTCATTTTCCAATAACTGCAGAATCTGTTGCCACAAACACATTATTTGGCTTATAACCAATTCAATGATGCATATTCAGTGAACAAAATCTCTATTCCAGTCCGTCTCCAGAGACCCAATGATTCCCCCATTGGGCCAC